GCAAAGAGTCTCGGCTCTAAAAACAATAAATATCAGAAGGGTTCGGGAGGAAACCACTTTTTCTGAATTTGATTCTGGGTAGTATACGAGCATACGGTCTACACTGTGAATATGCTGGAGGCGAACCAGGCGGCGAAGGGAGAAAAGTGTAGAATTGAGTGAAACAGCTGTTCCCCGTGCGGTGCTTGCAAGGGTCTTCAGTCATAAAAGGGCGGAGACAATCGTACATCACAGGTTCGTGGCATCCTTATCATGCAATCTCGAGTTGCGACAGTTGCGTAATCTATGCGCTTGCGGGGTTTACGAACAAAAGAACGGAACCGTTACTACTGAATGCGGTACTGGAGTAAATGTGATGATTACAGGTGAACGTCGGATGTTACTTCATGCCGAGACGCAAACCGTAGTGCTTAACGCAAGGAAGGCTGCACAAACGGCTTTGGCACGGTACAGAAGGTGAATGCCGTTTTGTAATTAAGCGTTTTGTGCGAAAAGCGTTGTAAAAACATTTGAACCTGCTCAACTGACTTTGCTGAACACGCTAAGACAGCTTATTGGCTGTCGAGAGCAATTCTCGGCACTTTTTAGCCCTTGTTACACCAAATTTTGGGAAGCAGGCTTCAGTCTCCTTGGAATTCGTTCCGGGGCATAGATTTTCCCGAAACACTAGTTAACATTCCGATCATATTACGTCTGTTTGGTAGGAAGCATTCGCGCTACAGGCACTGGCACCACAAGCTTAAGCCGTTGTGGCGCGAAAATCTGTACCAAATTGGGAGCCAGATCTCTTTGGGCCAAATCGTGTTCAGGGAGTTGAACCCTCCCCCCCTCCCCCAGGACATTGTTCTAGCGAATCTGGTGAAATTAGGTTTTTGGCACTTTTGCGCCAAATGGACGTGATATTCTGGTTAAACTACATCGAATCACAATCTTCTTGTCAAGTTTATTCTCACGGATAGATTCAACTGAAAACCCAGCTTGGGTCTCGTAGAATTGTTTTTCTTTGCTTTTTGAATTAATTTTCTTTACTTTTCGTAAGTCCATGGTGATCGTGTAGGCGGAGACAGGCGTACGGTGGACTTCCGTATTGGTGCGTCCATTGGTAGCAGTAAAGCGGAGCGGCATGCCAATAAGGAAGGCCCAACGGCAGATTTATCTCCGCCTACATGATCGATATGGAATATTCCTATACTAATAAGGAGAAGATTTACAAACTTAGACTGTAATTGTCGTTTAGTACGAAGTCGAAAGCGAGCGGTGTACCTCGTCAAGCACGGCAGTACCTCAGGAAAATGTCAATGGACGAAGTGTTACGAATCAAGGAGATCATGGAACAAGCAATATACCGTTAGTAGTATTAGTTCAGCTAATGAATGTGAAAGTTCAGATTGGAAGTTCTGAGAAACTGGTGGAATTTAGTATACTGAACCGCGCGTAAAAGAGTGTGTAGCAGCGGTGAGGGCCCACAGTACCACTCAGTTTTCGCCTAGGCAGCACCTGGCTACAGGTGGAGAGCGGAATTAGCGTCGTTCCAGCTTTCTGGCCTAAGCTCGGGGTTTCCCTGGCTAATAATAGTACCTCAAACTTGGGCAACTAAACGGGCTTATTGTATGCCCAAGCCTGCGTTCATGGGCCGAAACATTCAATTACACCTGCAGCTTTTGGGAATACTGTAACCTGTCTGTTTTCCCAAAGACATAGTCGTGTGTATTAAGTACATTAGCAGGACTTTGCGATGTAAAATGGCCTGCTGTGTTCTGCAGTGTGGTACAGCAGAGCACCTATAAAATGATAATAACCACTATAACATAACAACAACAAAACGGGAAAATAAACTGTCAACAGCTGTCATATGTCACATATA